TTCAGATATGTTTTGCTTTTGAAACTTCTATTAAAACAAAATTGATTAATTTTAAAAATATATTATTTTATTATAATAATAATTATTATTATTTTTTATTATTTTTACAGTAATTTTGATCATTTTTTAAATCAAACAAATGCAGCCTTGGTGGGCATAAGACGTCTTCGAAAAGCATTTTCAAATCTTACCAATCCCCAACTTTTGAACGGCAGTGTATAGTTAACTTGTCATAGACGTTAAAGTGTAAATAATTCAGAATTTTCCTTTAAAGGAATGTTCAGGGTTCAAAATGAGTCTGAGGCCTGCTGTTGATGATCACAGGCAGTCATTTTTACTTGCTTGAATCACCCTTTTAGAGTGGGACTACTTTTATAGTTGGATAAACTTCTGGTTACCAAGAAGTTGACCAATTTAAGTGTTTAAGGTTGCATCTGAAAAGCACATGTAAAACTTGCTTCAACGATAGAAACATTATGTATCTTTGTGGTGTCCTCGTACATGTATTAAGCAGTGTTTTTAGTATAGTTTATACTGATAAAGTATTTATATTTTGAATTTTATCATTAATTTATTTAATTTATTATTTACTTAATTTTAATTGAAGTTTTAGTAGGCTTTTTAATGTGATTTTTATTTTATTTATTTCGTTTTAAATTTAACAATTTTATACAATGATTTTTAATAGTTTTAGTAAACAATAACAACACTGATACTGAGAAAGTAACTTGGTTTACCTTTTTGAGCTTGCCATTAAGTTAAAATAGACCTTAAATTGCAAATAACCTGGAATATTCCTTTAAAGGAATGTTCCGGGTTTAAAAACGAGCTCTATTGACAGTATCTGTGGCCTGCCTTTGATTACCACCAAAAACAATTTTGACAAGGTTGTGAAAACAAGCATAAATTGTTTACAGTAATGCAGTTACAATGGAAGCCCATGGAGCAGGGACTCCAGAAGGGTTTACAAAATGAAAAGCAGTGCTCAATTTTGTTGAAGCACTTATATTAATGCTTCAATTCCAAAATATGCCAACAGGTGAATGAACTTCTGTTCATACTTTACCAATTTGATTCCTGTAAGTGGATGTGCACACATTGTGTGGAATTAGAGGGTCAAAATATGGATATAGCTATGTGCATTTGGTTTATTAGTGGTTTTGTCACACTAGGTCCATTTGAACACTTATAATGCATACGTCATTACATCATACGTTTTTTAACATCTCAATGCAGTGTCCTACCCCATATACTTGCGTTGTAAGCGCATTACTTTATACACAACTTTTGCTTGTTTTTAAAAACTCAAGACAAGTCAAAATAAATAGTTTTTTGTGGCAACTGACAGCACGCTATGGATTTGAACCCGGAACGTTCTTTTTAATGCCATTTGAGCTTAAAAAGTAGCTAAAGCAAGCATCTATATTTCATTGAAATTTGGTATTAATTTGAATAAGCATAAAGAGTCATTATCCTTGCATGTGCTCAGAGGCATGACATACTGTACAGACAAACCCAATCTGTTTCTCCAGATGAATATATATCATTTTATTTTGTTATAGTTTAGTGTTTCCATTGCAGGTTTGAATTCTGTCCTTTGAAGGAAATTATAAAAACAGATGACTTGTTATCTTTTCCTCTCCGCTTCCCCCTGTGTTCCCCCCTGGCCGGTGTGTGTGTGTGGTGTGTCTCTATAGGGAGGAATAGACCTGTTTGGAACTAAATGCCTCTCCTGGCTCTGCTGCCGGCAGAAAAAAGTGCCCAAGGCTCGGTACATGCACCTGGCCCAAGAGCTGAGCGTGGATCCCGACTGGCCTCCCAAACCTAAGAGCACTACTGAAGCCAAACCTGCCCCTCATCCGGACGACTGCTCTTACCAGATTGAGGCCATTTCCTAGCATTTCCACCTACACACTACGTATTGCACGTTCAAATCACCAGGGATTCCTTTAAACAATTGAAACAGTCAAATTAATGAATTTGTTAAAACAGATATGAACTCGTTAACCAAATGTGGCTCTTTAGATCACCTTCTCCATGATTTTACGGACCTGTGGCTCTCCTACGGATATCACGGAGGCTCTTCACTGGATTTCAAGCGTCGTCCTGTTAATGTAGTATTGAATCATCTCTACAGGTTTTGCGGCAGAGGCTGCATGCTACACTTTGGAAACCATCGCTGCATGCGGAACAAACCAAACCAAACTCTAGTGGCTCACAGAATCCAAGATTCAGCTTAATTTACAGCCAGCTCGTTTTTACAAATATATCGGCGTAGATATATAATTAGACCTGATCTCTACTTTTCATATCTCTTCCCATGGAAGAATCGAGGTGGGAATTTAGTTGTGGAAGGCCAAACATTGTGAAAGTCATTTGTGTTTTGTTCACTTCTCCTGGCGCAGTATCTGGCGATGGGTTTTGATTTTGGTCCATCTTGAAACTTTGTACCGGTTTTTTTTTTTTTTTCCTCTATTGAAAACTGTTCTTGAAACTTTGTACCGTTTTTTTTTTTTTTTTTTCCTCTATTGAAAACTGTCTGAAAACTGTCAAGTCCTGTTCATTCAAAAAAATGAAATTTTTGCAATGACACATTTGTGGGAATTGCACTGGGAATCGGCTGGAAGGGGCTCAGGTGCATTGATTGCTCATTGAGAAATTTCGGGCATATTCGTTAGGAAAAAGTACAAATGATAGACCTTTAACCTGGAGTCTTTGTGTGAGGTGGGGAAATTTTGCAATCCAAATCAAATCAGACTGCCAATGAAATCACTCAAAATTGGCCAGTTAACAGTATTACTTGTGCATGACTTGTTAACGGTTTTGCTGCTAATCTAGGAAAAAAAGCAACTTTTTTTAATCCTAAAAACAAACTTTTTCAAAATGTTGCAGATGGTCCCTTCCGTCTTTCCAGATGTGATTTATTTGAATAATTTATGCAGTTCAGTTCAACTATCCTCAACTTGCTGGTTTGTCTCAGTGTATATTTTTTTGGTTTATGTATTTGTTTGGTTTTTTGTTTTGTTTATATATACACGTGTTGTTCCTGAAATGAACCACTAAGCAATATCAGGTGATCACCTTAGTTTTTTTACCTGATAGTTTGTATTGTCGCTCTGCAAAAAAATCCAAGCCATTGATGGTGCTTTTTTGGTCAGTCATTTCACTGAGGTCGGTGTCCTTTTTTTTTTTTTTTGATGGATTTTAACATGAAAAAAAAGTCGCAAATGGAAAATGATTTAGTAGTAAAATTTTACGATTTAAAAAAAAATAAATAAATAAAAAGACTACCAATTGCATGTCTATTGGACTGCACTTAATTTAATAATATGTAAGATAATAAAATTTGTAAACATATTAAAGATACGTTCTACATGAATCTTAAAATGTTCTTTGAAAACAAAGGAATGTGCAATTTTTAAAAAGGACTCCATGAAGTTGAAGTTCATACAGTAAATCTTACAATCTGATCACAGATTTTCTTCCATGTTTGCATTTATTTATTGTTTGGTCTTCAAATTCATGTTGATTTATTTTGCTGTATGGGGCATTTTTAATTCTTCAGTTTAATCTGAAAAGGGGCTGAATCTGTCTGTCTTTTTATTGCTCCATTTCTGCAATACTTTGGTACTGTTTGATTTTTGAAATGGTATTGAGAATCTGAAATAATTGCAATGTGTTCTTTTCAACGGTATTTGTCCGATATTGTATCAGTATGTTTGTTTATATCATAAACGTGTTTGCTGGGCATTCCTTGAACGAGGCAACAAAAAAAACCCACCTTGCTCTTATTGACCTGGGTGACACGATCAATAACATTTTTATTATATAAAGTTGTATTAACTACCACCTCAAAGCATCTGCTCGCAACATCTACTGAGCCCGGATGGATAAACACAAACAACAATCTTTTTATTTATTTTTTTTTATAAATATGTCATTAACAAATGTGAATGCAATGCTGAATGCTTTTGGTATTGGGGAATGTTAAATTATTTTCTTTTTTAATTAATGCTGATTTTATTTTATTATTTTTTCCTTTTTTTTTTATTTAAATAGTTTCATTTGTCTTGATCTGAACTGTGTGGTGTGGCAGTCAGTTTCTCTTCCTCTAGGAGGCAGTAGGTTGCTGCTAGGCCTTGGAGAACATCATTAAATCCTCTGTCACAATAACAAATCTACACCTTATGCACAGTTTTATTGGTTTTGTTCACTTTCACTCTTTCAAATGCACATTGAAATATCCGTCCTGTCACTCTTTATGTTCCATGGCAATCATATATGTGCTGAAAAGTGATTTTTCCAAAACGGGGGCCATGTTCACGTCACTTGTATGTCATATCTGCAGTTCTATAGGATACGAACGCATAGGAATAAGAGTCTTTGATTACTTGGAGGTAATTCAGTTCACCTTGTTACTCCTTACTTTTGCTTGTTCATCTTGTACCATATGTTTGTATTCATTTTCATGTGAGAACGGTGTTATCAAACATGAGCAAAAGTTCAGCCACTGGTTCTTTTAAAGCTGGGGTGGTTAATTTCTTCAGGGAAATGTGTGTATTTGTAATGATTAATGCTAAATAAATATGGAAAAATCATGTGGGTCAGTATTCTTGGTGATGTTCGGTAGATATTCTAAATCCCACCACTTTTTATTTGAGAGATGTAAAATGTCACTAGTTTATTTTTTTTTTTATATATATACATCTGTGTTATTTATATTTATTTTATTTGCTTTAATAAATATTGTAAGTTTTCCTCTCTTTTTTTTTTCCCCCTTCCCTACTTAGTTCTCTGTAATAAATGTCAAAAACCGATTTTTGTTCATTGCTAAAATGGGATCTGAGAAACTTTCCTGTTCTTTAGCAGACTTTTTTATTTTATTTTATTTTTTACCATGTCCTAACTAGGGTACAGCAGGTACTGTTTACAATATGCCTAGTATTTTGGATGTTATTTAGCCCCACACACTTTGAAAATAAAAAAAAAAGTAATGGAAGCAAAAGACACAATTGTTTGTTGCATCTACTTCATGCGAATAAGCAGTGTGTTTGACTTTTGATGGACATTTTAATTAGTCATTTATTGTCATTTTCAATACAAGGGCAATCATACTTGTGTTTTCTTTTTATTTCCTATAATTCCTTGATATTTTATTTGATACTGTTACTGTTTTGATAAATAGAAAGACTAAAAAAAAAAGCATTTTTTAGCTTTTTTTTTCTTTTGTAACATAAATGTCTTTACGGTCATTTATGATCAATTTAATGCATCCTTTCTGAATAAAATATTAATTTCGTTCAAAAAAATGTAACCGTTGACTCATATTGTAATCAAAAGTCAAACACTTACTAGAGTAGCACCGTTAATTTGTGCAATAAATGAGCAAAATCTAAAATGGAAACTAACATTTAGTTATCTAGTGTGACTCCTGCATTGAGAGGTTCTGTGTTTTGCTTTTTGGTTGTTGTTTTATTTCTGAATGACTTAACTTGACATTCATTTCTTGTGGTTTCCAATAGATGTGATAGCAGACAGACAGCAGCAGTAGTGTGAAGGGAGAGAAGTGTAGCACAGGAAAATTCTAGAAAAACACTGACCATGGAGAAAATAGAGCCATTACATTTTCAGTGAGGGTGAGCAGTGCTTTCATGATATCACCTATACCAGGATCTTCCACTGGGATCTTCACCTGCTGGCTCTCAGAGGGTGGCTACCTCTGAGCTCTATAGAAATACCTGTATGTCCGACTCTTTTAATGTGTTTTGGTTTCTTTAACGCTTATGCCAGGGTTCAAAAGACAAGCACATCATGTGACCCGAGCAATTGTCAAGGTCAGTTTGTTTAAGCGCCACATTTCTGTGAACTCTTTCCTGCGTCAGTAGTGCTTGTGTGTCACAGCATGTGATTTTTGTTTTTGTGTGTGTTTGCCCATAAATTTATACATTAACCCGACTTAAGCCCCCATTGAAAATATTACACTCTTTGGCCTCCAGCTCTGTCTCTGAAATATTGATTTGTTTAGTTTTTAGATCAGGCGTTCTGGTTGGGCTCCAGCTGATATTTTGTTTGAGGATGCTGGTCCAACAGGAACATATGCGACCGCACATGTCTGCTCTTATATAACGACCAGGCTTGTTATGATCCACAAATGACCACTCTCAGTAAAATTCAGTGACTTAGAGGGTTTGATTATTAATTTAAGTGACTTTTAAAGCTGCCAGATAGTGGATACCCAAACACCACAGCTAAATGTACTTGTGGAGTATTTAATTTGATGTTCAGTTACTTCTGACCAAGTAATGCAGTCTTGGTCAAAATGTTCTTCGTTTTGATAATGTGCTTGTAGCTTTATGGTTCATCTCATTTTCAAAATGTATTTGCAGTTTTATTTATTTTCAGCATTAGCTTCTCTGTTAACAACACATGACCCTGTTGTGATAAACCCCACGAATCATCGTGCACTCACTGCCATTGGCTGATTTTGTTGAATTTTAAGAGAGTAAGTCCATAAGGACAAGTAAATATTTACCTGCCATTAGTGTAGAAGCCAATGCGAAAAAAACTAAATGCAAGTACACTTTGAATACAAGATAAGCCGTAAAGCTACAAGCATATTATCAATATAAAAAACATTTAAATTAGTGTATTCCTGAATTTCAAGACTGCATTACATGGCAAGTAACTGGACACCAAATTAAATATTCCACAAGCACATATGTTTTTTTTTTCTTAAGTGCTTTTTTTTTAAGGATCATTGTGATACTATTATAGTTTTATTAATATTTTAAATTAGTTCTTCTGTACTTTCCATTTTAAAGTTTAAGGTTTAAGTTTTTAATGTTTTTTTTTTCAGTTATTGTTTATTTTATTTCAAGTAACAAAAAATGGTTTTAGTTTTATTAACTACGACTCAATCAGCCCTAGTCTAAATGGCTTGATTTAAAAAAATCCATAACAATCACATTATAAACTGTACACACACACACTCACATGCCTACCCTGTGTGTTTGCTTTGATAGGCAGGGTTTGGCTATCCAGCATTTGATTGGACACTGCAAATCTTTAAATGCTTCACTTTGCAATGAAGCACCCAGAACCTTGGGGACATTTTGAGGAAAAACATGAGTGGATGTCCTTTTTTGGGAAGAAAGCATCAGTGAGTTTTTAATTCATGTCAAAATCAAATGAAATATAATGTAATCAAAATAAAATGCTAAGTTTTTATTTTTTTACCTGAAGAAAATGTAAAAAAAATATATTCTTTATCTCAAAATTAGATTGTTTACCAGTAAGCCCAGTCAGGCAGAGGAAGAGGATGAATCCCAAAAGGGCATCAACAAAGCCACTAAAGGAGGAATTGTCTATGGAGAATACCTACAGGTAATAAAGTCATCAACCTTCATAGACATCTGTATTGATCCAAATCTGAATTATTCAGATCTAAATTTAACCCTATTTTGCTGCAAAATGACTTAACCACAGCA